AAAAATCTTGGTGGACAGCTTACCAGATACTATGTCATGTTAAAATTTACAATAATGTAAATATTTTTATATTGCAATGGGAAAAGAAAGCATACCCATGGAATAGTCTTAGAAAGAGGAAGAAACTATAAATTGAGGATTGTTTTGTTCATTGGGAAAAAAAAATCTTTAGTATGCCAAAAGAAAAAACAAAACAAAATCAAAGTCAGTTGATAAACTCAAAAAAAGTGTGTTTGGCCTGTGTGACAAATACCTTCCGCATAAACGACTCTTAAGTCAATATGAAGCACTCTTATGAAGAATGAACAGTGCAATTGGAAAGTAGGTGAAGGGCATGAATTAATTCATATAAGGAGAAATAAATGGTAGTAGATGTGAGAAAGGAAACCAGTCTTGAGAATCAAATAGGTGCATATTATAATTAAATCCTATTTTCTTTGCTATCAGATTAGCAAACGTGTGTGTGTATTGGTTTCATGAATGATAGTACTCGATGCAGGTGGAGAGGGGTGGCGAGGAGTCTCATGTGCCTCGGGGAGTAGAAGGTACAACTTTTCTGAAAAGCAGTTTGGCAGTATGTCTCAGAGTCCTTATTCCTTTCTCTTGGCGATTCTACTTCAAGAAATTTTTCCCAAGGAAGCAATCTGTAGTCTAGAGATTTCTGTGCAAAGATGTTCATCACAATGTTATTTACAAAGATGAAAATTTGGAAGGATTCAAACACGCAGTAATAGGGAGTGAATCATTCACATGTTAAAGTGAGACCAGATCCTCATGAACATTAGCATCCTATGTTCCTAAAGATGCTTAGTCGCAAGGGAACTTCATGGTCTAAGGCTAAATGAAGAAGGCATGAAGGAGGGTGGGCCAGAGATAGAGAGCAAGACCCACGGTATAGAACCAGTGGGTACAGTGAAGATGGGGAAGGAGCCATCAGGATGTATTGGGGGGTAGATGGTCTTCATTTTTTCCGTTTAATTCCAATGAATTATAATTGAGCAGGCGCTGAGTACAAGGCAATGTCATTTAGGCTTGGTTTAGAGAAAGTGGATTAGATGTGTTAGACTGAAGGAAGGGGTGCTAACACTTGGTAGGATGCCACGCAGGGCCCCAGGCTGAGGTCCTGTTTTGTGCTTTGCTCTGCCTCTTTCCTGGTCCCTCAACCCTTTTGTGAGAATGGCTGGCCCCACCTCCTGTTCTCAGTGTGCTTGAGGGATTGGAGTTCAAAACCCAACAAAAAAATTCAGAATATAAAACTTTTTAAAAGAGAGGCTACATTCTACATAAAAACAAGTTTACGTATTATTTTTTGTGAGTGCTGAGGAAAGCGATTGTAAGGAAATATACCAAGATGTTGTTTCTGGTTAGCTCTCTTAGAATTACTGGAGACTTAATATTTTTCTGTATTATTTCTTTATTAAACAGTGTGGGGTACATTTTTAAAATAGCGTTAATGAGCTATAATTGACATATAATCTGCACACATTTAAAGTGCACAGTTGGATAAGATTTGACATATGTGTGTACACCTAAAACCAGCACTGCTATCAATATGATAAACATACCCATTACTTGCAAATGTTACTTTATGCCCTTTGTAATTTCTTCCTCTGCCCTGCCCATATCCCTTGCAGGGAACCCTGATCTACTCTCAGTCACTGTCATTCAGTTTGCGTTCCCTAGAAACGTCTATGAGTAGAATCACTTAGTATGTTCTCCCTTGGTGTCTTCCTGTCATTGTTTTGTGACTCATCCATGTAGCTTGTATATCAATATCAATTCCTTTTTGAGTAGTATTCCGTTGTGTGATTATAGCAGTTTAAACAAATGCGATGAAGTGCGTTTGTGATGAGACCATTCCTGTTTGTCTAAATGTACTCTGAGATTGAGCAGTGTGACAGGAATGTGCATACCTGTTGTGTCTCTCCCATCCTGTTCACTCCCCAGCCCCCATTGTCTGTCTGTGCCACTCCTTCATCAAAACCACCATACTGGCAGAGACTCGAAATTGATCAGGAAGGTGATGCTTGGGCCCCTTGACCTTCTACTCTGGACTGCTCCCCTTTACCTACTGGGCAACTTCCAAACACCAAGAACCTGCTCTGGAAGCAGCTTTACGGGCTGAGATCCAGCTTTCCCTTCGTTTTCTCTCAGGGGACTTAGATTCCAAGGGTGTGGCCATCAACAATGGAACCAGAAGGTAGGATGCTACTTGTGCAGGGCGCCCTCCCCACCAATCTCAGCCACCACACTGTTTGAGTAAACAGTAAATGTCTGTGGTGGGAGGGTCCATGTCTCGTGCCCCGATGAACAGTTGCCTTGTGAACTGAGGAACTGCCTCCCAGAAGGCAGGAGGGCTCCTCTCCACCCCGAGGACTCCTTGCTTTCAAAAAGTCTCCTTCAAAGAGGATGGAAAAAAACAGTAGATCCTGCTGGATTGTGTCCAGCATGTGTAATCTTAGAACCTCTGTGGGCAGCAGCGACAGGACCCAGCTTTTGTAACCAGAGGCCTGGTGGGGATGAGCCCTGAGCAGGGCACCAAGTTTTTCCTTCTTGGGCTACCCCCTCAGGCTCAGTACATCCACAGTGTGCTGCCTTGGCTTTCATGGCCCTGTTCCCTTTGGTGCTAACTAACCCTTGGCCACCAGCACACAGGAGCTCAGCTCAGGGAGAGACTGGATGCCTGGGAGCCAGTGGGCAGGGGTGGAGCCCTGGGAACTTAACCCTGGTGGACAGGGTGATGTTGTTAACGTTGGGGATGGGAGGGTGGGCAGGTCCCTGCTGATTTCTCAGTGGGTTCTTCCTGTGTCTGAGGTGCCAGGGTGATTGTGCTTTATATGTGTTTGGACCTGGTGGTGTCTACATGTGTATGTGTGTGATGCCATGGAGGGGGACCTCGCCACTGTAAACCAGGCTCCAGGGCTGCAGACCTGCAGTGGAGGTTCAGAGTCCGCCTTGAGTAAATGTTCATGTTGTTGTTTGAACTGGCAGAGTTGCTGTGTGGTGCCGGGAGGCAGGAAGAGACTAACTTCCAATGTAGAGGGAACATTACCGGAATTCCAGAGACAGGCCTACCTGAGCTCCGTGGCTCACTCCTCCTACCTGGCATGTTGCCTCACTTTCATTCCTGACTCCCGACCTCAAGTGGGCTACATGGCCAGCCCCACAGTGGTCAGTAGGTCACAGTGAATGTTGACATGATAATAAAAGCCTGCAGTACAGACAGTGAACACAGCACATACCACACTTCCACTCTTGTCCAGGAAGAGACTGGGAGTCAGAGCAGTTTAATAACTTTCCTGCTTTTGTACTACTTCTAAACAGTGGGATCAGAGTTTGGCCCTAACTTGTTTGGCTCTCAACTTTGTATTCTCTCTGTAATGTCCTGCTGGGTCACTGTGGGATCACCAGCCGCGACCCAGGCTCCAGGCCCAGGGCGTCCACATAGCTTAGCATGTTAATCCTCAAAACAGCCCTGCCAGGTAGGGGCTGGTCTGACTGTTTTGATTATTGCAAGGCTCAGAGCATGTAAGTAATTTGCTCAACCACACCTGTTGGTTAGGGTCTTTCTGCTCCTGGAGACTCTCCTTGCCCTGACTCCTTGATGTCCAGTCTTCCCTTTGATGGAAGTCTGGCCTAGTTGCTGAGGGGTTTGGCATCCGGTCTGACCAGAGCTGTTCCTTGGGTCTTGCCTCCTCTGATACCTTCCCCTGCCCTCATGGCCCACAGCTTCCAGTTTCAATATTCTCTGCTCCAAACATCCCTTGCTCTGGGCCTTAAAGCCTGTGTTCTCGCTGCCCGTAGTCTTGCTTCCAACCAGCAGACAACCTGCTGGTCGCTCCTTCCTCTCCTCCCCTCCAGGGCAGAAGTAACTCACACTTCTCCTGCACTACTCAGTATGCCTCCATTCCAAGTAGATTCCAGAAATGTCTGCCTCCCCCACAGAATGAGGTTTCTTGAGGGTGGAGACTATAGTTAAGGCTTTGAGGACTTGCAGAAGAATAACACATAATAGGTGTTCAGTAAATGGTTTACAGTTGGGATGAATTGAACTTTTCGAAGCAAATATTCTCCCTTTTCTCCTGATCTAATGCTTTTTATGTCTGAGAACTTTAGAGGTAGAGTGAGAATTTCCCACATGGGAAAAAATGGGACTTTTGGGTAAAGAGTAATGCAGATTTGATTTTGAAGCCCAGATTTTCATTCCGTGGTTGTGCACTATTAAGTATGACTGAATGTCTCAGGAGATTCATGGAGTTTAAGATTTGGACACATCTCCTACCATAGTCTCTTGGCTAAGTAGTCAGAGGCCCCAGCTCTGCCTCTGGCCCCCTTGCTGTGCCTGAGGACCCCCGGCCCCTGTTCCTGGGTGCCTCAGCTGTGAGTCAGAACATGTGCAGCGTGGGCTTGTGCGGGTGGCAGCGAGCCCAGAATTAGCTCAGCTGTGTTTCAGCAGGGCTGCAGCAGGGAGAGGGAGGCTGTGCCAGGCAGGGGCCTGAGAGGCAGGCAGCCCTGAGTGGGAGTGGGGGTCAGCTCTCAGGAGCCATCCCAGGCCTCAGGGTGTGAGGGAGAGCCTGCTTCCTGCCTGGCACATGCCTGCCTGTCCCTGAGAGTGAATCACGGGGATTGCCTTTTGGAGCCAGAGCTCGTGTGCTCCTCGCATGCCTAAGATGAAGGTGGGCAGCAGATGGTGATGGCTGGGTCACGCCAAGGAATGAGTGGCAGGCAGAGGAAGGCAACACCGTACTCACCGTTCAGCTTGTGGCAGCTCCGTGCCCTGACCTGCCCTCAGTGCAACCAGGCACACAGAACCACGCCGCCACCCTCAGCTGCCCTGCCACCAGGCGTTGTGGCCTCTTTCTTGTCTGACATTCTTTTATTGTTTGCAAACTGTCTTTTTGTTAAAAGAGAGGGAATGGTTGGCATGGGTATTTTAATAAACTACAAAATGCGTTATTCCCTCTTGTCCCCTTTCCTGTTCTTTCCAATCTCTGGCACAGGTGTGTTGCCCAGGACACGGATGGTTGTCATCACAGAAGACACCCAGCAACACCCAGCAACACCCATTTCTCCTGCTGCTCCTTGGGGCCAAACCCAAGGGTAGGCTTCATGCCTCCCGGGGGTGGGGAAGGCCTGGCACTTGTGTCACCACCAAATGAGTCAGGTAGGTGGAACAGTAAAATACTTGATCACGTGTGTCAGGATTGTTCTAGAAATACATCTTTCCAAGTCTTGGTGTACATTAGGGGCACACAGCATTTATTACCTTTGTGGTTGACCCTTGCTATGTGAAGCAGAGTGATGATGCATTTGGGGTTTCTGTGGGCATAATCACGAGAATAGACCAGGTAGGGATGAAATTGAAGCATCCTGACGTTTCCAGGGTGGAGCAGCTTGGAGGCTCAGCAGGTAACTTCTGTTTAGAGCACTGTCCTAGCTCATGTCACTACTGTTGGGTTCAGGAGGCCATGACCGCCTTACTCTGGAATAAAACCGAATGTGCACCCATTCTTGATCCGACAGAGGACTGGCACTTGTGCAGAGGCTTTTCCTTCTTGACCCCACGCCCACGCTTCAGGTCAGAGCTGACCCTATGCCACAGAGTTGGTCAGAGGAAGATCTCAGAAGACGTGTTGTACCACGCCTGAGCACAGCACAAGGCAGGGGCGTGCCCATCGGTGAGAGCCTGAGGGCAGACACCGCGCTCTGTCAGCTTCACCCCTCTAGTGTCTATGCACACAGAGACCCAGGACCCTTGTAAGTGCTCTGAGCTCACAGCCTCTGCATGCCCCTTTCCTGGCACCCATTATCTGTGTATCCCGCAGGAACTATGGGTGGGCAGGCCAGAATTAATGTGCCCCTTTGAGGGACAAGGTACGTGAGCCCTGGTGAGCAGGAAGGATGTGCCAGCTCTGAGCGCAGTATCACAGGGGCAGGGCTGGGTGCAGCATCTTGCCTCCAGTATGCTGCTCAGCTGCTGCTTGGCTTCGTCCCACAGCACTTCCCGCCAGATCCCACCCAGAACTCTGGGTACACTGACTCCATGGGTGAGCCTCAAGCCCGGGCACCTCGGAGCAAGGGAAGATAAATGGATTGGACTTCTCTTCCAATTAGGAGTCCTGTTGCTGGCAAGAGTGCATTCATTTGCGTGGTTCAAATGTGGCAAAGAATTGTATTTTTTTACAAGTCCCAAACATTCTTTACAGTGCTTGGCCAGCAGCCTTGGTCTGTGTTTGTATAACACTTGCTTTTAACATTGAGACACCCCAAGCCTGGGAGGTTAGATATATCTTGCTCTAGTATATACTGCTCTTCCTGACAGTCCATGTAGATTTGGGAACCACTGTTCAATCTTTCTTGCGAAAATAAAGGTTTCTTGGATTTTTCTGATTTTCTGTCCAGCAAACTCTTTGGAACTTGAGTCCCAAACAGCCTTTTTTTTTTTTTAAACTGAGGTGATTCTATGCAACGTGGAGCTAAACAGTTGATCTGCATAACCTCACTTAATCCTCCTGTCTGAGAGTAGGTTCAGTTATTAGTTCCACATAGCAGGAAAGAAAATGTGCCTAGTGCTGACAACCTTTGCTGGGGTCACCCCACCAATAAACGGACCGAGGCCTGCTGGACTCTTAACGCCCATGTTCTGGTAGCAAGTCAATATGGGAAGCAAACACACCCTCCCTTGGGCACCCTGGCTTTAATGCTGCTGCTTTTGCGGGAGACATTGGCATTGGGAGCCAGAGCTGACTCTGGTTTGACAGGGCAAGTCCTCAGAGCAGTGGTTTAGGGAACAAGGAGTTTCTCAGAAACATTTTCAAAGAAGTGGCCAATGACCTTAAAAAGAATGTGAGGCATCCTGTTTGAGGATCCCTTCAGGTGGGGACAGCTGGAGGAGGGGATGAAACTGAGAGGGTGGTGCCAGATTGGGGGGATGGGACAGAATGCCCTCAAGCCTCAGGGCTGGTATTGGAGGATAAGGACACATTGAAGAAGACAGTATTGCTGACGACTCATGATGTTTTTATTAAACCGTAGGATTAAGAATCTGGGTAAAATGCAGCAGTTTCTTCCTTCAGGATTAAATTACTCCCTTTTGAAAGCTGCTCTGGAGCCTTGCTACCTATTCCTTTTGTTGTTGGCTTCCCTCAGCCTGACTGCTGGCCCTTTGCCATGTTCAGCAATTAGCTTTGGACCTGAAGACAGGCTCTGTGAGTTTAGTGGTGGTTTAGGAACAGGATTCTTTTGGCTGAAAAGGAAGCAGGGAAAAAGAGCAGCTGTCCAGGTGGTTTGGGGTATGCTCTCAGGTGGAGAGTTTGGTGCCAGGCCCACGTTCCCTTAGGGAGGCCTGGTCACTCTGAGCATCAGATTTCAATGGGCCTGGCAGGTCAACAGCAGGACTGTGCAGCAGGGAGGAAATTCCATTTTGCATGGCCCATGTTTGCTCACATCCTAGGCCTGACAGCTCCATTAGTTTGCACTTGCAGATTTCACGAACTGTGGTTTGATTACTGTTGCTTGGGTCCAGATTACATGGAAACATTCCGAACCTCCTCTGGAATCCTTTATCAAATAATCATGACTGCTTTCTCAGGTATTTAAAAGGGATGTTTCCATACCCGCCCACCTCTTCTTTCGCTTTATAACAGTTACATCATATAGCTGTGACATGTAAATCCAAAGAAAATTAAACCACATAAAGTAAATAATTTTATGAAAAAATAAGTACTTGAGAAGCACAGGAAATGCTAATGCAAATAGCATGAGGGAAATTAAAGAATTTGCTACTGCTATCTAGTGCTCTGGAAAATAGGAATTTCATGATGTGCTCAAAAATACCACTGCGACATTGCCTGACAACTTAATGCCAATCTCTTACTAATCTTCCCTGCAGAGTTTTCGCCAGTGTCTCTGAGGGAGCAGTTCCTGAAATGCTGATTCACTGTGTGAAGCTTAAAAGCAAGATGCAGTTACACAGTCCCTATTCTTAGTATTTTCGTTTAAGCCCCTTAACACAGGGTTTGGGGAGACAGGTTTTAAACAATGGGCTTTCTCTATGTGTTGGCCTCTGAACCTTTACAATTATTGTGGTTAGTTATACAAATGAAGACAGGGCCTGCGTTCAGACTGACAGAAGATAGATGGAATGGAAATGAAATTTATTTCTGTACACATGGCATTCCAGTGGAAATTGTGAGGCTTTGTCTACTTCTCAAGTGCAGATGTCAGCTTTCTGTAGATTCTAATTGTTCCACTGATAGAGGACGTGCCACAGGAGGAAGGTCATTGGATCTGTGAGCCACCTTGGCAACCTGAGCTTTGTACTATTGTCCAGGGCAAGTGGCTGTTCGTACCAGGGAGAGGAGATATTTATCTGCCTGATAGACACTAGAGCAGTCGGGTGAGTTTGGGTTTGGGCTTGAGTTTTTGGGAGAGATGATAAAATCTTTCTGTTCACATACTAGTTGTTAGTTTGACAAACCATACACAGGCTTGGATTCATCCAGCTGGGTGGTCAGGAAGGACTGCTGACCGCTACCCCACCCAGACCCCTATTTATAGTGCTAGAGGTAGCATTTACTAAGAGAAAGGCTTTTGTTGGGGCCTCACTTGGTCCTGCATTTTGTACAAGACACAGCATGTGACCCATTCCTGTCCCAGAACTGAGCATTTGAGTTTTCTAATGTTTGAGGGTGACCTTAGAGCTCTCTAGTGCATACAGTTGGGCTCCTCTGCCCTTGGTGCTGATTTTCCAGGTGACCAGTTGGGAGCTTGGGAAACAGTTCTGGCTGATTTGGGCCAGGAAAGCTAAGGGACGCTGTCTTCAAAACTACAGGTCTCAGCATGGCATAAGAGAGGAGAACTAGTATCATGTTTCCATGGGTTTGCTCCCGATACTTTGCCAGAGTTGAATAGATATTTAACAGGTGTCAAAGCAGTATTTTCTACTTTAAGGGGAAAAAAAAACCTGTCAATATTTTTATGTAGTATTGGGATAGGTAGTTCATTTTGCTCTGTTTTACATAGCAGCCAGAGTCACCTTTTAGAATATAAACAGACCTCCAGTCCTAGCCATGGGGGAGCCATAAATAATGAATTTCCTTTCCTCTCCTAAATATTTATGGTATTAGACAAAGTATATGAAGGAACTGTTTTCAGATATTAAATAATACTCAGTGGTGTGTGATCCAGATGGAAGTATGTGAGGCAGGCTCCACAGTCATCTTGGCTCTATGTCAGGGATTATAGCCATTATTCAAGGCACAGGGAAGCAGAGGCATAGAAAAAAGTAGAGCAGAAGAAACGGAGATAAAAAAAAATTGGGGTACTGTAGCAGCTAGGGTTTATGGGACAGGGTATTAGAGAGGAGGGTTTTGGGCAGAGGAGAGACTTGAGAAACTCAAAGCAGAGCCCCAGACCTTGTCTAATACTAAAGGATAGAGCTGAGAGCTGGCAGAGAATAGCTATAGGGAGTGGTAGTGAGCCGAACAGATCTAACCTGCCAGAGTGGGAAGATCTCACTGAAAACACTGAGCAGTCACTGAGGCCACAGAAAGGCCACGCCTGATGAGTAGGGTTACTCTAACCTAGAGTAGGGCGCATACAAAAACCTAAGAACAAGTTTCATTAGGATCAGTATGAGATGCCAATCAACTAATCAGCTATTTGACAGAAAAAAATTCAGCACAGTTTAAACAAAATATTACCTGTGATATCTAGCATACAATACAAAAATCACGACATTCAGGACAAAGAAGAAAAAGTCAGTTGTTACAAACTTACATAGACATAAACAGATAGGAATTTCGGCCGAGAAAGGGAAATGTAAGAAAAAGTGAAAAAGAAATTCTAGAATTTAAAAATATAGTATCTGAAATGAAAAATTCACTGGGTGAGCCTGAAAGCAGTTTAGGTACTATAGAAAGAAATATCGGTGAACTTGAAGTCAGGGAAGACACCATTCGCACTGAAGCCCGGTGTGAAAAAAACATTGAAAAGTGATCAGAGCTTCAGTGATATGTGAAAGAAATTAAGTAGTCTAACGATGTGTAATTGGAGTTGTAGAAGAAAAGACTGGAATAGAAAAAATATTTCTATTTGAAATTCTCCAAATCTGTTTAAAAATATCTCAACCTATAAATTTCAAATTTCAAGGAGGCTCAGAGT